AAACATGTGTTTCTTAGGACGAGAAACCCCAGAAAGTATTATCATTGTTAGGGCTATTATTATTATTAAGAGGACTGCATATAGAATATTGATAGGAAAGCCCGAAGAAAAGAGTCCACTAGGAAGACCAAGACGCAGGTGAATGGATAATATTAAAATAGATGTTAGATAGGACTAGATCGACCTGGCTCGAGATAGGGACCATTGGAGGGCTCTTGTGAATCTTCGGGTTCTGTAAAATATTGGCAAGTTCTTGAGTAGCTAAGCGACTGGCGGCTTCTCAAGAAGGGCTCAGCTGCATGGAATTAGTAGTAACATTACGTAAATGAAATAAAGGTTCGGCGATGAGAATATTTGGACCTGAAGTTGAAGTGACAGGAGGATGGAGAAAATTACATAATGAGGAGCTTCAGAATTTGTACTTTTCACTCAGTAATATTAAGATGATTGGGGAACACGGCAGCGTAGTTGGTTGAGACACTGTGCTACAAGCGGGAAAGGTCGCGGTTTCGATTTCCGATCAGGTCATTGAATTTTTTAATTAACCTAATCCTTCTATCCTTAGTATGTGCCTGGGGTCCACTCAGCCTCTAACAGAAGTGAGCAGCAGGAATCTTCCTTGGTCTAAAGGGCGGCCGGCGCGTATGGCTGACAATCTCACGGCCATCTGTGAGCCCACTGTGTAGAAAATATGGGAGCCTCGACGTCTCACAGCCCTATGGGCCTCCACGGCCTATGACAGGGATAGCTTTACCTTTCATGTTAAAATGATGAAATTAAAGAGATCAGATGGACGAGGCAGGCTAACGAAGCGTTCGGCTCTCGACCGGGATGCGGGTTAGACTGACTTAGATTTCGTGGTTTCTCCTCCAAGATGGAGGCAACACATGTAGCAGACTTCACGGCGTCACATCCCACAAGAAGCACATTAAGTTAACGCGGCTGGTACTTCACCTTTGAACGTGAAAGCTATCCAGGATCTGAGCAGTGCTGATTAGGCTGGGTGTTCGCGAAGGTGTTGTTGAGTCAGCTTATATAGTTATATGAACCGCTGCAGATAAGGGCCGCGGGATTTTTATGTTCTGGTTATTTAAGATTTCTATAATTTCAAAAGGGTTTTTTGGTGGGGGGCTTCTGTAGCAAAGGGTTTAATATAGATTAATCTCATCTAAACGCATAAAAATTTATCTTCTACCTTACAAGAAACCGCTTCTCCAACTAAGAAGAGAGAAGTCTGTGTTTATTGGAAAAGCCCTACGGAACACGCAAATGCACTCTGTGATCAGAATGCAGAGGTTTCAAGAAGGTGTATCTCCATCATTCTTGATCTCCGTACTAGATGGAGGTGAGTGGTCAGCTTCACGCCCCGGCCGCTTTACCCTCGCGGAAAGAGCCTTCGGTGCCCATTGGATAGGAGGCTGGGTGGGCCCTAGATCCGGTCTTGACCCTTGCTCCTTCCGGGAATAGAACGCCGGCCGCCCATCCCGTCAGTATCGCAGTGAATATCGTACGTATAAGCAAGAATGCTTCCCTTTTCTGAAAGGTAGTAATGACAACATGACATTAGTTAAAGTGAAGAGATGACGCTAGTCACAGGGACCGTAAGGCTTCATGTTAATATGTTCGTGGTGTTTGCTTGCGCAGAAATGAGAGATTTCTCTTGGAAGATACGCTCTCTGCAAACTCCGAAAGCAGCAGTGAGGCCAACCGGCCACTTTCTGTTGACAGGCGCACTATTTCACTTCCTGGAGTGGACCGAAACTCTGCGACCTCTCTCTTGCCGACTGAAGCAAGCAAGAAGCGTCTGGTTCCTCAGTCCCCATCAAAATATTCCGATGTTTGTGGTTTAAAAGTTGTCTAGAAACTAGAAATCACGTGTTCGTCAGTGACAAGCAGGATTACCCGTTCTTAGCCTGGGACGTGGAGGATTTCTCACACTTAGAAGGCGTAACACTTAGATAAAGAATTTGAAATTCTCTCATGTAATTTAAAAATCTATAGAGGGGCCCAAAATATATAATAAATCCCGTTTGTTTGACTGTCCTGCTATTCCATAAGGCGGCCTTTTTTATTGTGGGAAAAATTATTGTAAATACAAATAAGGCCTATGCAGTGCCCCTCCGGCCTTCTGTAGCACATTCTTATAAACATCTTGTCAGGGCGGTCGCCCCGCGGTTCTTAATAGAGATCATAACTTGAATCTGCATAAGGAGGCTCTGGCATTCATGTGACTAGCACCGTCTCTAAGAACATATCACATTACATGTCGGTTAAACTTAAAGTGTGTATGCTGTGCCGTGCATAGACGTTATTACACGACGACAGCGAGATGGACGGATATATCAGGGCCGTTTCTGAGCAACGGCTCGGTATACACGATCCCGCAGCAATAGACACGATCGCAACACTAGAAGAGCTGTGTTTTTTACGTGGTCCGTGCCGAGGTATTTAAGAACGGCACAAGGTTAGGGCTTAATTCTGTACGGGAATTTGTGAAGACAGTCCTTGAGCCCGTAGGCACAGGAATAACAATTGTTGGAGCCGTTACCAGGAAACTTCTAGTAACAGAGATAACACTAAACTGTGTGTTCTAGTAAACTCTAAAGTCTGGAAACCAATAATACTGTTATAGTTACTTGTAGTTACGACTTGTAAATGGTCAGTAAGTCTATTCACAATCCAAACCCCGTCTATAGTCACTCCTATGACATGACAGTACTTTTTTGGGGGTTGGGGGGCTCTGTGTTGGAATGAGGATTCGAATCGCACTCCAAAACCTTACCGCAGCCCTTTCACATCTTCTCCTTAATAGTGAGGGATACCGTACTTATTGGTAAAGATAAATTTACCAGATAATGGTGTATACATAAAGCTCTGCAGTCTTGCGAAGCGAAGAATCACGACACAGTACAACATGGACACGAGCACCAGCAGCAATTTACTGGACCTACCGAAGCCATAAGTCCTTGGAAATAGTGAAAACAGTATTCTTCTTGTATCGAGTCGATAGAACGTCATGACAGAAACAGCAAATAAAATGCAGTAAACCCCTTGTTAATCCGGAGTAACCGGGGTGGGTGGGAGATCTTCCGGATTAGTGAAGCAAAATATAGCCCAGAAAGAGAGAAAAAATTTTGAATACAAATAAATGGAAAAATTAATTATACACGTATAAGTAGAGCCGATTAAAATATATACAAAAATATCAGTGTAGATCCTTTATTTAAAAACTATAAAAAGATAATACAGTTCATTCATCGATAATAATGCAGGTTTGAAGAAACTGTCTCAAGTTTTGTCTGAACAGACAAGTGACTCATCTGCCTTCATAATTTCCATGTGCCTGTTTAAAGTGTGTACTGAACTATGAACATTTTTTTTTCGATCCGGTTTGACGGTAACCGGATTAAGGAGGGTTTTTATTGCAATTTAATCTGAATATACATTGAAAGCGTTGAAGGACGCCGCGTTTGACAGCAGCAAAGCTGGAGACTGAAACACAATACACATCTGAACACAGGAAAGGGTTCAGGGATGCCTCAGAACACAATCAGTTAGAAGTTAAGAGACCAGTGTGGCTGGCTGCATCACACGGGACAAGATACGACAGCCTTTCACTTCTGTGCACGGTGTCATCTTTATATGTTAATAATAACTGACGATCAGATGTATTTTAGACGACTCGCATTAAAAAAATAAAAGCGAGTCATGGAAAATTACGTGAATTTCTCTCTTAACAGCGGAAAGCCCCTGAAAATCCTTGTTTAAGGTTAAGGTGAAAATTGAAGTTGTTCCTATGCTTAACTAATTAAGCACTACTCTTTGAAGACGTATGGGGAAGTGGATGTACAGATACACGTGTTCTTTACCTCGGCTTTAGTCCTGCGTGAGTGGTCGCGCCTTGGCTGCTTTGCCCCCGGGGGATAGGTGAGGCATCAGAGCCGGTCTGGACTACGTGGAGAGGAGAAAAGTCTTTCCTCCACCGGGACTTGAACTTAGACCCATTGGCCTGTAGCCTGTAGAGCTATCCCGGCTTCCCTTTATAAGTATTTGCTAAATAACAGTTGGATACTTTTATTGGTATTCGTATATACACGGCGATTCTAAATTATTGTCGTGGGTTTCAGTTTATAGGCCACGGAAGCCCCGAACAATAATTTAGAATTACCCTGTGTATTAGAAAGTGAAGCGCGTTGGATATAGTGACTTCTGGCGAATTGTGCTGAAGATTCAGGTGTATACTCATCGACTGTGGCTGACGTAAGTTCGTATATTGCGATTAAAGGGTAACACGCCTGACTAGCGTTAACGCATAAAATAAACCGCGGAACCTTCACTTGACACACGTGAAGATACAGTCAGAGGTTCCTCTGAAAGCCTCTTTCTATCAGACCACACGGCGTCACGTCCTACGAGACCATCATAACAATACCGGAGGAATCTGCCACCGTAGCAGAGAATCCTCTGAAACTTTGATAGGTATAACTGTATACCAGACTATACGGCGTAATGTCCTCGGCTAACGTAACGGCTCCCCGTTATGAGAAATTTACGTCATTAAATTTTCGGCAATTTATACATTACGTTTCATTGAATTTAAAATTACACATTTAATTGTGTAATATTTAAGTGAATCAAACGTAATACTCTCTGGGGAAATTATATATAGATGTACATATGTTACTAAGTAATGTAGTACCGTAAAACGAAACAAATTATTGATATTTATAAAGACGTTTAGTTGATTAAGTGACGGTTCTAAACACTTGTGTTCAAAGTCTCCAGCAGTAACCCACAAAATTATTCAGTCTGGAGATCGGATGAAGAGCCTCGGAGCTATAAGAATTCAATTCGTACCTCATAGGAAACAGGCGCTGTTTATCGTGATAACCATACGGAACATATAAATACACTGTTGGGGCAGAAAGCACAGATTTTAAACGTTAAAATTGTGGTACATGTAGTGAGCACTGTTGTTTAAAGATAAGAACAGCACGTACCGGCTCCGGCCACTGCAACAAACACAATCACGAGGTTCCTCATCGTCGTCACCACTTGATCACTGCGAACTCACTGATCCTTCGGCCCGCCGCCAGTCTGCGTTTTATAGCAGACAGGTACCGGCTCCCTACGTGACCTACTCTTGTAGCGCTCGCAACTGCTCCTAGCACTTTCATCGAGCTGCATTCCGCGTCTCGCATGCACAGGGTTCAGGGTACCGACGTTTCGGAGGAACGTGCTCCCTCCGTAATGTGGCCTGTAGATACGTTGCTAGGGAACGCCCGCAACAATAAAACAGTGTTTTATATGTGTTCCTTGCGGTAAACACTCCTCTACAATAGAGGGACAGTGTTTTCTCCGTGGTCCGTGCCGAGGAGTTATCTTGAAAACAATTGGCGCTACAGATGAGTCCTTACTACTATGGGGAAAGATCTGAATCAAAACTTCATATAAAATGTAAATATATTCTATATTATATATTGTAAAAGTCAGACCCGTCCTCTCGTCAGAGAGAGCGCCCCACTTCAACAAACCCTCAAGTGCCTGAAAGAAACAGAAATCTGGTCTTAAGTTCGAAGTGGGTGCTTGACGCCAAGACGGACTGGCTGACTGACCGTCGGTCGTAACGTAACTTTAACTTTTCACAGCTGAGCTGAGGGTTCAGTTGTGGAGTGTTAACCAATGGACAGTGGCTTGTCCACGGAAGCTGATGAATATCCAAAAACAGGAGACACCATGTATGCGAACCACAAGACGAGGAAGAAGACGTAAGAAGATGCTGGATGACCTTGGGGACAGAAGAGGATATTTTTATTTGAAGGAGAAAGCTCTAGATCGCATCAAGTGGAGGAACTGTTTTCGAAGAGACTGTGGACCTGTCGTCTGACAGATTACTGATGAATGATGAATGTTGGGAGCTATTACCAAGTAACGACGAGTGAAAGTTGACTGAGAAGACTTAGTGTGGAAATCAACAACAGTGTTATAATTGTTTGTAGTTACTACCTGAAAGTGGTCAGCAAATCTAATTCAGCAATCCAGACCCCGTCTACAGTCACCCCTATCACTTTACAATGTTTAGGATGGAAAGTAAGCCAAATAAATAACAACGAAGAGGCAAGCAATAGCTGCTTGCTTGGTTTACTCTTCTACCCTAAGCTGGAGGTGTTATTCTCCACCGAAACGTCGATGAACTTCTGACGAGTTACACGGCGTCACGTTTTAGGAGATGCTTTTGATTGTAATGATCGCTGTGAGAACCTCAAGTCTTGATAGGTTTATTCTCTGCTTTAAGAATATCATATCAAGCACATCGTTGAAATAATCTTGAATCATTACTAGCATGATGCCTGGGGATTCAGAAGTGGTTTTCCTGCTTCATTAAGACTACATGTCGGTCTGGAGGGACTAAGGAAACCCGCGACGTCCCTTCCGGAACAAACACCTGGCAGAGATTTTATCCGTATGTGGGCCGCAACATGCGAGCTACATCACCGTGAAGTTTCGTGTACTCCTGCTGGTACTACTGGCCTCAATTTGCGGTACAGCAAGCAGACTCGGGTTCGCTTCCTTTCTGTCTGACACGGGATCGAACCTCGAGGCATGTTGCGCGAGCTAAATACACTTTGTTGTTTTCCTTCGACTCCTCAAATAAACTGTTTGGAAAGGAACTTAAAGTATTCGAGCACTTTTACTCACTTTCCTAAGATACATGCAAGAGTAGCCGTTCTTCACCCGGGGCGTAGTTGCTTTGTTAGTGACATTTATTCACATACGGGCAACTCAGACTGTACATACCTGTGTGGCACGTGTGTGTCAGTAGTGAGGGGTCTCAGAAAGGTCTTGCTGCGCGGACCGCAGCCCATCGCTCGATGGTGGCACGTCGGCCCTATATCAGCCGAGTTACTTGAAATAAATATTAGTGTTTTTCATGTCTTTTTATAGTCTTCCCTAGTCGTTGCTTTGTAACAGCTCTTAACAATAGAGATTCTTCAGCTTCTGTACTCGCGCCGTTGCCCTGCGGGCTAATACTGGCAGTGTTCATCTATCCCAGAAAAATGAAGTGAAATACCTGGGATGCATCTTGATAGAAGGCTGACATGGGCAAAGCACGTCAAAACTAAAAGAAAACAGCTCAACCAAAAGCGAAACAAATGCACTGGCTACTCGGAAGAACATCAACACTATCAGCAGAAAGCAAACTCCTCCTATACAAAGCAGTACTCAAACCAATGTAGACCTATGGAATTCAGCTATGGGGTCAGCCTCCAATTCCAACATCGAAATTCTCTAGCGCTTTCATTCAAAGACTCGCCGATCCATTCTGAACGCACCTTGGAACATAAACAGCCACAGGATCCATGAAGACTTACAAATGAACACAGCACTCAGTGAAATAGGAAAGTGGAATACCGAATACTAATGAAAATTAGAAAACCACCCTCATGCAGTAGCAGTGAACCCACTAGACAATAGCGAAACTACACACAGACTGAAAAGATACACTGTCCTAACTCTACCAGACAGACCTGAGTAAAACCCCAATACAAGAATTAAAATGATAACCAAGTGAACAAAAGAAAAGTATATGAGTTACGCCACTCGTCATAGCTCATACACGAGCAGGTACTTATTGAACATACATATTTATTGCAGATTGTGCGGATTATGTATGATATACATGTGTGAAAAAAATAACTTATTCAAATTCAAAGTCACATTTGCGACTGACGTCCAGTCAGTCAGTAAGACTTGGTGTCGAGCACCCTCCTGGGGCTCATGACCAGACATTTATTACTCCTCAACAGGTACGGTCTTGTTTCTGTGGGGCGCCCTCTCTAACGAGAGGATGGGTCTGTCTTTTGTATATGCTGCTGGCCCTTGCCAGCGCAGTCTTTCTAGGGTCTGAGGCCCTTGGGACTTGTGACCATATTTTACTGTCTCACATTTGAGATTTCCCTTTTCGTCTCCTCCTACAACTCGCAGGGTCACGGTGGAGGTAATCGACCCCACCTCCACACGGGGAACACCCCCTTCGTCCACGTCCAGGTCACATTGCGACTGACGGTCAGTAAGTCTGTCTTGGTGTCGAGCTCCAGCTGGGGCTCATGACCAGATTTTTTTCCTTATATGAAAATTACTGTCCTGTTCATTTGGGGCGCCCTCTCTGACGAGAGGTCGGGTCTGCCATTTGTCAGTCATAGTCCGTATTGGTAAGTCCATTGTCAGTATTTACATATATTTACAAATTTAATCTTAATTCGTATTTCTATATACAATATATACAAGGCCTCTGTCAATCCAGGCTCAGAACAGCAGATTTTGCCCTATTTCTAGCAGTATTAGCTACCACGGCAGTCTAGTCACTTGAACGGCCGTATGCCTGACCGCCGCCAAGTTTAAGCCTCTTATATTTTCTGTGTCGGGCTTCGCCTTGTCCGATGTTGCGAACATTCTCATTTTCATGATTTTGTATGCCTTCTGCTTGTTTCCCGCATAATTTTGTTATAAAGTCATAAACATACGGGATTTTAAATGCCATGTGCAAGTCGCGGACCGGTGTGCGCCTTGGAAAATTGCCAATGGTGCGGAGAACCTTGTTTTGCAGGCGCTGCAATTTCACTAGATGGGTGTCTGCCGCAAACTCCCAGGCGGGACTAGCATAAGTCATTACGGATCTAATGAGAGCTTTGTGGATGGTCATTTCAATGTTAGCTCTCAATCTCTCACTTTTGAATAGGGAATATACCCTAATGAATGTTCTGAAGGCCTTGGCTTCGATCATTTCTATGTGCAATCTCCATGTAACTCTCTTATCGAAGATTACACCTAGATATTTCCTTCTGATTGTTCCTTCTGTCCTGGTATAATATCTCAGCACGGACCACATAGAAAACACCGTTATTTCTATTGTTCCGTTCGTGTCCATTGACGCGGGAACATTTTTACGATGCCGTTGCCTAGAAACTCCCGGCGCAATCCACAGAAAACACCATTCTTCTATCGTTGCCTGTGTGAATGCAGGCGTAGCCCAGAAACGGTCGCTGTTTACAGCGTTGGACTGTGAAGTCGCAGATGAATACGACGCGTCACTGTGACCGAAGATCTGGATTTCTTTAACGTTATTTGGGTAGGCTTGTTATATTACAGGGGCTCTAGTTGCCAGTCTGCTGGCTAGATGTCAGTGTGTGTGCCGCCATCTCGACAAGACCAAGCAAACGCTGAGATGGTTCCCAAGTTGCTTCTGCGCGCTTCTCATGCAGCCCTTCACATTTAAATTATTCAGAATTAAACCTCTCTCCTTTAAATGCCACCAAAATTATTTTTGTAAATTATACAGTTCGAGATATATCAGAAAGTCCAAAGCACCGCTTCTAACCGTCCTAACATCTTCACTTTCACACTGCCCTTATCAGAAAGACGAGTTGTGCCCTTTCACGTTTCTACAGTTGCTTCGGGCGTGCAGACCTGGATGTCTGCGTGCTTGGGGGGCGGCAGCGAGGAGCCTTGGTTCTGGTACCATGGCTGCACAACACGCAGTTGTCTGTCGACGCATTACCGGAGTGAGGAACGCACTGCCAATCACGCTGTGACCACTGCGATGTACAGGGATGGTAATGTTGGGCCATGAAGACGGAGCCTTGAACTCTCACACGGCGGCGAATGAACCGAACTCCTTGCACTCGTCGCCGGCCAGTGAAGTCTCTGTCACTCGGTACTGAGGCGTGGTGTATACTCTGAAACATACACACAGTTCACCGACCTTTCTTTCTTCTGAGCTGTGAAGATTTATAATATTCTTCTCGAATTATTTCGTATAGCGATAGATTACGGGGCTGGACGGCTCCGGGGTTCGATACTAGATAGGGCCCACTTCCCCAACAAGCATCATTGAGCCATAGCTTTCCTCAGAAGATCGTGACAAGTACGCCTATTAAATTAGACCATCCAGTTTTCACACATCTGGATTTCGCAACGATATTTTCTTTACACTTCAAGGTCGTCAGCCTTGCGTCAAACCCCCAACCTTGAGGACCAGGTCTCTGTATTGTCACGTGATTGAGAGACGATAGCAGAGTTTGCATTGGTAATCGGATTTATT